AGGATTACAGGTGTGAGCCACGGGTGCCCTGCCAGGGTTTGTTTTTGAGAGGGGATTTCACGAGGTGGTCAGGGCTGGCCTGAAGCCGCGGGTGCCCGTGAGGATCCTGGCTAGCTAGGACTATAGGCGTGCATCGCGCCAAGGGGCGCCACAGGCAGTTTGAAGCTGTGCATGGGCCCCGCCCCGCCATGTGAAGGAACGTTTGGGTGGCAGCAGTCAGTGGAGGTGTGCCCACTCAGTTTGTTGACACAGGTGACCTTGGGTGAGCCATCTACACCTCGTCTGGCTCTGCTGCATGGCCTCCCTGGGGTCCTCTCTGCAGCAGACAGGGCCCGAGTAGATTTCCAGTGCCCAGGGCAGGGGTAGGAAGGATGACATGAGACTGAAGCTGCTGACTTCCAAGGACATGTGACTTGGGAAGTTGGGGCTAAGATGGTGGCCTCAGGGTCAGAAGCCTGAGTTCAAAGCCCAGTACTGCCACATAGATTAGATCAATCACAGCATCTGACCACGAGGTAGCTGAGCAGGTCACCCCAGCCCCGGGTGGGGAGTGAGATCAGGAGGCCTAATACAGAGCCACTGGTGGTCTCGGGGGTCCAGGCTTCCAGTAGGACCAGGCCTCGGGTTGGACATACTTCGCACCTGCCGTCAGCAGAGCGGAGACCCAGGCCTAAGACAGGGATGCAGGAGTGCAAGGGTGGGGAGAGGAGGCAAGGGGAAGCAGGCCCAGCTGCCAGGGCTCTGCGTGTGATGTGGCCCTGCTGGGCACCCGGACTCTGCGTGTGGTGTGGCCCTGCTGGGCGCTGGGACTCTGTGCGTGTGGTGTGGCCCTGCTGGGCGCCTGGGACTCTGTGCGTGTGATGTGGCCCTGCTGGGCACCCGGACTCTGTGCGTGTGATGTGGCCCTGCTGGGCGCCCGGACTCTGCGTGTGGTGTGGCCCTGCTGGGCACCCGGTACAGCATCGCACCAGGTGAGGCGCTGCCTGTGGAAGAGCTCAGAGCTGTGACCAGCTAACACCTGGCTGCCAGTGTTCATGGTGGGCATCGGCCGCTGGGCGTGCTGGCCTGGGCCATCTCTGTGTATGAGCTGGCGAGGCTGGGTGCCCAGGAGAACTGGGTCAGGAGCTGGCGTGAGTGTCCGTGGTGGTCTCAATGCAGAGTTAGCCCCTGCCCGGGCCTCTTCCCTCAGCCTCGTGCCGCTCCCTGCGTCTCTTCCAGCCCCAAGCCCCAGCTGGTGGCAAGTTTCAAACCTCCTCCTGAGGGTTTGCCGGGCAGGTGAGGTAAAGGGCAGGAAGCCATGACTCCCCCAGCTCAGGATCCTCCCCAGTCCTGGGACTGCCACTGTCGCCTCCCATAGGCCATGGAGCCGGTAGCAAGGAGGAGCCTGAGCGGGAAGCTGGCTTCCCCAGGCAGCAGATTCATCGTAGGGCACATGGGGTATAGCAGGCGATAGCTGGGCTCCGCCCATGGAGTTGTCACTACTAGTTGTCATCTGAATTAGCTGTCACCCCTCTGCCACTGTGAAGTGGGAACAATAACAGGTACGCGTCTGTCACGTGAGACTGGAGCGTGTACAAGATGCCCAGCATCCGTGGGTAATGGGGGCCCGGGCGTCCGTGCACGGCACTGCGCGGCGCCTGCCCCAGCCTCCCATCGTGCTGAGCCGGTGAGAAGCTTGCCCCGCCTGCCCCTCGCGCTCCACCCTCAGCCCAAACTAGCTGGTGAGCACTGGTGAACGCTGAGGACACCGCAGGGCGGGGCTCGCTGGGTTTGCTCCTTGTGAAGGACAGCAGGGTGTCAAGACACGCGTGATCTCTCTTCAGGTTTCATGGTAACAAACAGGGCAGAAAGTTGGCACCCTAAAATGTGGGGCCTCTCTCCCCTCCCCGACTCCCTGCCCTCCTCTCCTCCCTTCCCTCATCTCTTCTGTCCCTCCCAGCCTCCAGACCGGATTTCCTTACGTAGCCTAGACTGGTCTCCAACTCGGGATATTCCTGCTTCAGTGCCAAGGTGAAAGGAATGTGCCACCGTATCCTGTTCTGTTTTTTATTACACCTTTCAGCCTCAAGATTTCCTTCTTGATGCCATGCAGGGTAGCTACGACTTGATAGATAGCTGCACTCCCAATGTTGTGAAGAGAGTGAGGATGGGGTGGGCCCCATGGGCCCCACCCCCACCCTACAAACTGCTTATCTCTGGCTGGCTCCTGAGATGGGTACGGACTGGTCTCAGGTAGCACGGCTAAAGCTAGGAGAAGCCACCCTCCAAGGAAGAGCAGAAGCTAGCCTCTGATACAACATTCCCAGTGCTTCTCATTCATTTGGTACTCCTCTGTTGTTGGACACTAATTAAAGGAAAGGAAGAAACGATGGTGTGACCTTTACTCACGACAAGGCATCAGGGAGACTGACCTCAGGATGGTCACTCAGTGGAGGGCATTAGCAGATCTCATCTGAAGGAACTCCAGGACCTAAAGCAAGGCATGCTGCCAGGTGTGGTGGTACACTCCTGTAATCCTAGCCACTTATAGAAGCAGATCATGAGTGCTAGGCTGTGCTACATGGTAAGGTCCTGTGCACACGCACACACGCACATGAGGGGACGTGGCTCAGCAGTGCAGTGATGACCTGGCCGGGCCAGGTGTCTCGGCTTCCATCCCCAGCACTGAAGGAAAAGGTAGGAAATAAAAGCAAAATATAAAAGAACTGGACTAATGGAAATTCTTCACAATTACACTGTGAGATAAAAGTGAACTAGATTGAGGTGCGAGCAGGTTGAAGATGACAGAGTAGTCTGTGCACTTCAGAATCAGTAGAAGTGATCAGTAAAGAAGAACCAAGATTTCAGAAGAAGTGAGACTGGGGCGAGACTCGGGCAACAGTGTGGTGGCGGTGGCTTCCGCATCTGCCAGGACCACAGACTGCCACGGCGGCAGACACCCTGGCAGGGCCTGAGCTCGGAGCTCTGAGGTTCTGGTATCGCGGGCGCCCTGGCGGGGCCTGAGCTCTGAGGTTCTGGTATCGCGGGCACCCTGGCGGGGCCTGAGCTCTGAGGTTCTGGTATCGCGGGCGCCTTGGTGGGGCCTGAGCTCTGAGGTTCTGGTATCGCGGGCGCCTTGGTGGGGCCTGAGCTCTGAGGTTCTGGTATCGCGGGCACCCTGGCGGGGCCTGAGCTCTGAGGTTCTGGTATCGCGGGCACCTTGGCGGGGCCTGAGCTCGGAGGTTCTGGTATCGCAGGTGCCCTGGCAGGGCCTGGCAAGCATGGGGCACCAGAGTTGAGGTTGGGCTACAGTAGGACTGGATTGGGACTCTGGCTAACCCAGACCAGGGCTAGTGGGCAGCAAGGGCAGGACGGGCAGGGCTGTCGAAGGAGAGGCTGTGTCCGCGTTCGGAGAGTGTCTGGCCCAGCAGGGTGGGAGAGGCCAGCCCTCATTGGACACCATTGTCTGTGGGTTCATTTCAGGACAAGCAGACCTGTCACCCTCTCTGGGTGGAGGGTCAGTGTGAGCACCACCAACCCAGGAAGGCAGCCTCGGTGGCAGAAAGTGGGGGGAGGGGGGGACCGGCGCTGGGGTTTGGGTGGGCGCTGGGGCAGAACAGGACCTTCCCTGCTCCCCACCAGGAGTTGGGCCGCAGGGGGCTGGCCCTGAGGGAGGAGGGCCACTCAGGAGGGGGCTATGGGGCCCACCCGCCCCTCAGAGGCTGAGGCTGTGGAGAGCCAGCACCTCTGGGTGTGGAAGGCCGGGGGCAGTGCACCTGCAGCGGTTGCTCCCTGTAGACAGCTTTAGTGGGAGCTCCCTCGGAGGGAGGACACCTGCTTGTGCTGATGGCCACAGAAAAGTCCCCAGTGGTGCCGGTGCCTGGAGCTGGGCCCGCAGAGCGCTGCGCTGACTAGGGAGGGGAGCCCCGGGCCTTCCTGCAGCGCTCCTGTCCTGTCCTGCCCGATGCGCCCATGCGGCCAGGCCAGGGCGTGCGCCTCCAGGTCTTGGCTGTGTAGCCGTGGTTTTGGAAGGTGCTTCCTTCACGCGGTGCTGTGTCCTCCCACAGGTTATTTTTCCTTCCAGTTCCACATAGCACTGTTTCTTCAGTGCCTTTAGTGGTATAAAATGCTAGCCTGACGAGGTGCTGGGGCCTGGGCCTTAATTTTTTTTATGGTTTAAAAAAGTGTTATTAAGGAGTTATATAAACTGGCTACATTCCAGAAGTCAGGTTATGAATACGATGCTTTTCGGGCCATGTCACTCCTTCCTTCACATTCCCCCATCTCCCTCCCCACAGGTACAGAATTCACTGAGCCTTTTTGTTGTTCGTGTGCTGGTCCTGGGGCTTGAACTGAGGCCCTGAGTGCTTTTGCTCAAGGCTAAGGCTCTACCACTTGAGCCACAGCACCACTTGTGGCTTTTAGTGGATAATTGGAGATAAAGAGTCTCTTGGATTTTCTTGTCCAGGCTGCCTCTGAACCTTTATGTTCAGTAAGCCATGTGTCAGCACGCAGAAGCGCAGTCCGCATCCCGAGCAAACAGCCTGACCGGCACCCAGCGGTGGCAGCGGGTCCTTCCCGAGCCTTCGCTGTCGGAACGCCCTGCCACCCACGCTCGTCCCGCCGCTCTGCACAGCGGGGTGGTTCTCGCGCCAGCAGTCCACGCAGCTTCTGCGGCTCTTACCTTTTGTCCAGCCTACCCATGATGCATTGGGCTTGTGCCATAGAGAGGGAGGCCACGTGCAGAATGAGGGAATGAAGACTTTGAACTCTGCCTGCCCTGGTTTAAATTCTGGGGCCACCACCAGCTACCCCTGTGGCGTGGGGTAGGTGGCGTGGCACCTCCGAGTTTCAGGTGCCCTGCCTCTCCAGGCAGCGAGGAAGGCTCCGTGTGAGAGTCAGCACTGGGGCCACAGCCCTTGAGCTGGACGCGCGTCGGGTGCCTCTCCCCCGCGTGCAGCACCGCGTTGCGTGGCTTCTGGCAGCAAGGCCGTGCGTCCTAGCGCCCGCTGTCCCCGCAGGCCTCCCGGAGCAGTACTACAGCCTCACCTGGTTCCTGAGCCCCATCCTCGGCCTCATCTCCACCCCGCTCATCGGATCTGCCAGTGACCGCTGCACCCTGAGCTGGGGCCGGCGGCGGCCCTTCATCCTCGCCCTCTGCGTGGGCGTGCTCTTCGGCGTGGCGCTCTTCCTCAACGGCTCGGCCATAGGTAGGCGACTGCGAGCGAGCAAGCGAGCCCGCGAGGGAGCGCAGCGCCCGCCCCACGTGGGAAAGGCAGAGGAACCTGTTCACAGGGAAACGCTTCCTGTTGTGCTGCTGTTTCCAGCGCGTATCTGACACCGCGTCCTGTTTCCAGCCTCATTCCAGCAATTACCTTTTTTTTTGTTTTTTTTTTCTCCTTTTCTTAGGCGTCCGGAGCTGTTTGTGGGCTGTTTTTCTGGTTCCTGTGTTGTTTTGCTTCTCTGTTGTTTTGGATTGAAGTGACTGGGTGGGAAAGTATTTTTGCCTTGAGGCGCCCATCCGAGCTGGGGAAAAACAAAGCCTGGCGCTCTGCCCCCTCAGCCGCCCAAGCAGGACAGCAGGGTGTTCCAGAAAGCACCCAGAAAACCCCTCAGTGTGAAGGAGCAAGCGCCTCACCCCTCCACCCTGGGAGCCCCAGCTTCTGGCTGGAGGCCAGGGGGCCTCACGTGGGTCAGGTGCCGTCTAATTGTTGGGGGGCCTTTGGGCCTTGTCCTGGGTCTGCCCCACACACACTACTTCGCGTCTTGTGCATGAGTGCTACAGGCCCTTTGCTGGCAGTAAGGTGAGCCCCAGCCCAGGCTGCTCAGGCACTGCCGTGGATACTTGATCCTGAGGTTTAGGACAGACTCCCCTGAGCAATGGACTGCGTGCGCACAGCAGTTACGGGGGTGGGGGGGGCAGGTGCTGGGCTGGGCCGCCTCTTTCCCTGGGACCCTCAGGCCCTTGGCTGGCAGGGGTTTGCAAAGGAGCTCCCCTTCCCGCTTCAAAGCAGATGGGCGAGGGGCCGCTGGGCAGGCAGCGAGGATTTGATGGGACTCTCTCTCCTAGGTCTGTGTGAAGCCTGCAGCTCCCGCCCTCCCCCCCCCCTGCTGCGCAGCCAGGCTGACTTCTTCCCCTTACTCTGTTCAGGTCTGGCCCTGGGCGATGTCCCCACCCAGCAGCCCATCGGCATCGTTCTCACCGTGCTGGGAGTGGTGGTGCTGGACTTCAGCGCCGATGCCACCGAGGGGCCCATCCGCGCCTACCTGCTGGACGTGGTGGACAGCGAGGAGCAGGACATGGCCCTCAACATCCACGCCTTCTCTGCAGGTGTGTATGGGGCACGCTGAGTCCACACAGCCCCTCCAGATTCTGGGTTTCCAGCCCTCGCCAACCACCAAGACCGAGTAGGACAAAGGGACCAAGGGTCTGGGACAGGGAGCGTCAGACTTGCTGTCCAGGCGGCTGAGGCCTGGCGCTGCGCTGACCCCTGTCTCAGCCGGTCAGTGTTGGCACATGGCGGGATTGGCACACAGGCAAGCTGCATCGGCCCTGGGACTCGCTTGCTCTTAACAAGTGGGGATTGGGCTGGGAAGGTGGCTCAGTGGTAGAGCGCTTGCCTTGCATGCCAGAGACCCTGGGTTCCATTCCTCAGCACCACATAAGCAAAAAGAAAAAAGCCGGAAGTGGTGCTGTGGCTCAAGTGGTAGAGCGCTAGCCTTGAGCTGAA